AGCTACGTCATCATCCTCTTCTCCAGGGTTGAAGGATGAGTCTGGAGGAGAAAGTGAGGGCTCAGTGCTTCAGATCATCATGGGGAGCAGGAGCTGGAGCACCATGGCAGTCCTTCACAGCCCCAGCCCTCACCTGTCTCCTCCCCAGATCCATCACTGCTGTCATTGGCATTCTCCTCCCGGATCTTGCCCTCCTCTTTCATCCTCTCCAAGTAGGCATCGTGCTGGTCCTCGTCAGAGTCAGCATATTCATCATAGCTCTGCTTCATTCCCTGCAGAGAGGTGGGATGAGAGCTGCTCCCTGTGCTCCCCTCTGGAACACAGCCCTGGGTGAGCACAGCCCTGGGCATGCACAGGCCAGGGCACAGACACAGCCATGTCCCCTCCATCCCCCCTCAGGGCCCCGGAGAGAGGGGCAGAGCAGTTATGGGGGTTAGGGGGGCCCTCACACACCACACTGGGGTTACTGGGTTAGTCAGAGACCACCACGGCCATGCACAGGAAACCTGCACCAGGAGAAGGAGGAGAAAGAGGAAGGGATATCGCACGGACCTTTTTCCTCTACAAGGGCAAGGAGAGAAAAGAGAGGTGAAAAAAGGAGGGAAAAGCAGCTGGATTCTGGGAGAGGGCAGTGCCAGCGGGCAGGAGCCTGGCCCCGTGTGGCTGATACCTCCTTCAGGCCCCGGTTCTTGATGTTCAGCTTCTTGGCATTGACGAAGTCAAAGAGCTTCCCGTACTCCTCCCTGTGGGAGAGGGCACGGTCGGGCCGGGGGTGCCAGGGAGCCCCGGTGGGCACAGCCAGGCTGGCCCCTCAGCCCACACCCACCTCTCGATGCTGCTGAAGGTGTACTGGGTGCCCTGCTTGGTCTCGATCTCGAAGTCGAAGGAGCGGGTGGTGGTGGTGCCGCGGGCGAAGTTGACGAAGGAGATCTCGTCGAAGCGGATGTGCACCGGGGGCTTGTGCACGTAGATGAAGCCCCTCTCCAGCGGGTACAGCAGCCCTGAGCTGGCCTTGTAGGAGCAGGTGATACACTGGGCTCCAGAGTGTCTGCAGGACAAACACTGCTATCCGTGGGGACAAATGTCCTCCCTGTTCCCAGCCCTGGCAGACAGGCCCTGCTCCCCAGCATGAATCACACAGAGAGCCCCTTCCCCCTGGCCATGGGAATGGGGTGGGAAGAGAGGGACTGGCCCTGCAGCTGCTCACCCCTGGAAGTTTCCGGGCACGGTGATCTTGCGGTTCACCAGCGCCTTCATCACCCGGCTGACCATCTCATAGAGGGACCCTGACATGTTCTTGGTGAGCCGCCCCTCAAAGCGCTTCTCCACCTCCTCCCTGTGTGGAGGGAAAGAGGGCAGAGCTGAGAACAGGGGTCTGGGGTGTAAGTAGCTCCCTCAGGATCCAGGGAGGGGTCTGGGAAGCGGCGTAGCATCGGGGAGCTCACTCATTCATGTTGAGGGTCAGGGAGATGTCCTCATCCTTGGAGAAGAGCAGGATCAGGAAGTGGTACCGGGTCTGGCCTTGCTTTATCGGGGGGTCCAGGCTGATCTGGAAAGAGAAGAGGAGGTGAAGACACGAAACGCCCCAAACCACCCCCAATGCCCTTCCGGGGGAGGGCTGAGCCATTCCCACTCACCACGAAGAACATCTGGCGCTGGTCCTTGTGCGGGAGCAGGAAGAGGCGCAGCACGGTGGTGTAGGGGATCTTGTAGTCGAAGGTCTTGCCGTGCAGGTGCAGGAAGGTGGGGTAGATGCGGATGTCGTAGCGCCCGCGCGGCGTCAGGCACTGCAGCTCCCGGAAGATGCAGATGGCATCTCCGGTGGCCTGGATCACGTCCGCCTTGGACAGCACGTTCTGGGCGAAGGCCTGCCAGGGAAGCGGTCACAAAGGGTCCCTCGCCGCCAGCCCCCGCCCTCCTGCCGGCCCCACGCACCTCCACGGGGTCCACGCCGTCCTCCTGGGTGGGGGGCACGTAGAACCGGACCTCCATGAGGGAGACCTCGGCGTCGTCGTTCTGGTGGAACTCCAGCGTCACCTCGTTCTTGCCCGTGGTGCACTGGGACACGTTGCTGAGCGGGATCTCGAACACTGGCTGCTCCCCGATGTCGAAGGACAGCAGCTGCCCTGCGGGGACATCACAGCCAGCTCAGAGCTCTGCCCCACAAATCCCATCTCCAGCCACGGTTTCGCTCCTCTCCCAAAATCCAGCAGTGCCTCTGCTCTCATCACTGCATTCCCACCCTCCAAAATTTCCAGGCTTTCTCCCTTCCAGCGGCATCCCTGGAAATTGCCACTGACCAGAAACACACAAAAAGGAACTGTCTGTCCTGGGTCCCAGAGCTGGAGGCAAACCCACCAGCTCCCCAGGCTCCCTAAAGAACAGCAAACGTGCAGATTCCACATCAAACATGGCCCCCTGGGATTCAGGGTCCTCCTGTTCTCCTGAGATGGCAAATATCCTCACTGTCCCTGAGGACATCCCTAGAAAGCAGCTGCTCCTAAGGGAATGGCTGCAGCAGCAGAACAGCCACACTGGTGGGAACATCCCACCCCACGGCCTCAGGCTGCCACTGGAACTCACCTCCAAACCTCACCGTGCCCCAGTTCCAGCCCTTCACACACAGATCCTTCTCTGCGAGCTCCAGGCAATAGTGGGCCTTGAAGAAATCTGAGAGCTTGTCAAATTCCTGCGTTGGGCAAGAGGGAGGCAACACCGTCAGGAACCAGCAGTGCCCAGAGCCCCGGGTGACACACAGCCCCTGGAGGGGGCAGAGCTGTTCTGGGGCTGGCAGGGAGCACAGCTGGATCTGGGAGAGCGGGAGCAGGGAACAGGGACTCACCGACTCCCGGAACCCGTCATACTTGTAGACGTGGCCGTTCTTGGTGAGCAGCTTGAGGCCGTGCCCCAGCGCCACGCGCCGCCACACGCCCTCGGCCAGCTCTGAGGCCTGGATGTTGTCCACCTTCCCCGTCTTGCTGTTCTTGAAGATGACGCCCTGCCGGCTCAGCCGCAGCCGCCCATCGTTCTGTGCGAGAGCTGGGCATGAGGGGACTCGGTCCCATGGAACCATGGAGGAACCATGGTGCTGTTGGGTGTTCAGGGCACATCCCCCACACCCTCCTCACCACACAACATTCGCTCCCCCCATCCACACCCCAACGCTGGAAGCGCCCCTGGGGCCATCCCCATGTCCCCTCGCTTACCATGGAGCCCTTCACCTCCTGGTAGATCTCGTTGAACTCCAGCGTGTCTGCCATGGCGGCTGCGGGCTGTGGGAGGGGACGGGGACGATCTCAGGGGGGTTCAGCAGCCCCCCCAGCCCGGCATGCCCGGGGCAGCGGCAGAGCAGTCACTCACGGCACCTGTGGGAGGACAGCGGGTGAGCCGGGCTGGCGACGGGCTCCTGGCGCTGCCCCAAAACCAGACCTGCCCCGCAGGCTGCCCCCGCCCCGGCCCCGCACGCCGCCTCTCGCGGCGGCCCCCGGCCCACCTCGCCCCTTCCCCGGCTGTGCCGTGGCCCAGCTGCCCTTCCTGCAGCCCTCGGCCGCAGCTGTGTCATCGCACCTCTCGAATCCTCCCACCCAAGCCCTTCCCCTCCCTCATACGGCCTCCCTGCACCCCAAGCCACCCCCAAATTCCTTCCGAGCCTGAGGGCCCAAGCCGGGGAGGCCGCCCGGGCCTCCCCCCAACCCCAGGCCTGCCCACCCGCACCGAGCCTACTTCCATCTCAGGCCCGTTCCCCCATCCCAGCCCGGCCTGCCCGGACTCCGGGCTCCCCCTGCGAGACGCAGACACCCCCCATCCCCCGGTAAGCCCACAGGCCCCCCCGCACCGCTGCCGACTTCCGCCATGGCGCCGGTCCGCGCTGGCGTCCCCTGGCGACGGGGCGGGCCCGTGCAGTGCGCTCCGCCGCACAGCGAGCGGCCCCGCCCACCGAGGGGAGGGGCGGGGCCAGAGCGGCCGAGACCCCGCCCCCCAGCCGCCGCTGTGCCCCGCCCAGAACCATAGAGAGAAGGGGGGAGAGACCCCATTGGCCAGCACGGGGCGAGCCCCGTGACGTCACCTGGTGTGGGGACAGCCCTCCCCCCAAAGCCGGGGCGCCCCAAAGTGTTGGAACCGGACAACGGGGCGGCCCAGAGCGGGGCACCCCCGAAACCGCCCGCACGGGGCACCCCCCTCCTGCTCCCGTGCCTGGGTGTCCCCCCAAACCAGGCATTCCCAGGCTGGGGCGCACCCCCCACGTGCACCCCCGGGCGGGGCTCCCCCGTGCCCGCATGGGTCCCCCATTTGGGGCTCCCCCCCATAGGGAGCCCGGGGAAGGACCCTGCCTGCACCCCTCCATCCCGCCAGGAACGGGGGGGCGACCCCTCCCGTCCCCCCGGGCCGTGCCCCCCCTCCGGTACCCGCGCCCTGCCGGTACCCGTGCCTGCACCCGCGCCCGCCCTGCCCTGCCCGCATCCCGCTCACTGCCCGCAGCCCTGCCCTGCCCATCCCGCATCCCCCTCGGATCCCGCAGCCCCGCCGTGCCCTGCCCGCAGCCCCGCCGTGCCCTGCCCGCAGCCCCGTCGCCGGCCGCCCCCCGCGCTGCCCATGTCCCTCCAGCGCTCCCGCACCCGCTGGGTGAGCGACTTCTTCTCCTACGAGACCACCAAGTCGGTGGTGGTGAAGAGCTGGGTGGTGGGCGTCGTCAACCGCGGCGTCCAGCTCCTCATCCTCGCCTACTTCGTCGGGTGAGCCCCCCGGCAGCCCCGGGACAACCCCCGGGCACCTCTGGGACACCCGGCCCCGGGACATCCCCCGGGACACGCCCCCGAGCCCCTTCCCGGCACGGCGGCAGCGCGGTGACTGCCACTTGCTGCTGCAGGTGACACCCGGGGGTGACGGCGTGTGGCAGCGGGGTCACCGCGAGGGGACACCGGGCGGCGGTGCGGGGTCAGGGGGTGGCCAGGCCGGGAGTAGGGGGTGATGGAGCAGAGGAGGGACGGGAGAGCGGGTGACAATGTGCCAGTGCCGGGAATTCAGGTGTGCCGGAGCAGGTGACACGACGGGGACAGCCGGGAGAGTGTGCCGGCTGACAAGGCGGGACAGAGGATCTCGGTGCGGGTGACACAAGGGGGACAGCCAGAGAGCGTGCCGCTGCGGGTGGCAGCGCAGGTGACATGATGGGGACAGCAAGGTGTCCTTACGGGTGACACAAGGGGGACAGCCAGGAGAGCGTCTCGGGTGGATGACGGGAAGGGGACAGCGTGGGTGACACCGAGGGGCAGAGAAGCCACTCGGGCCCAGGGGATGACAGATGGGGATGACCCGCTCTGGGGTCCCTGTCCCCGAGTGCTCCCGGGGTGACAGCAGCCACCGGCGGAGGGATCACGAGCGGCTGTCGGGGACCGGCATCTGCTGGCGCTGGCAGCTCCGGGGGCCGGGATTCACGGGCAGGTCCGGGGGTGCCGGGGGAGGCAGGAGGGGCCCGGGGGGTGCCGGTGGTGTCCGGGAGTGGCTGTCCCCAGCGTCACCCGCGGTGCTGTCCCAGCTGGGTGTTCCTCCATGAGAAAGCGTACCAGGTGCGGGACACGGCCATCGAGTCCTCCGTGGTCACCAAGGTGAAGGGCGTGGGGCGCTACGCGGGGCAGGTGATGGACACGGCCGACTACGTCACGCCCCCCCAGGTGAGGACCGGGGACCGGAGGGGTCGCTGAGGGGCGCGGGGCCACCCCCGCCTCGGTTCCCTCCTCCCCGGACGGGTCGTGTGACAGCGACGTCCCGCAGGGCACCTCGGTGTTCGTGGTGGTCACCAAGCAGATCCGGACCGAGGACCAGGCGCAGGGCGTGTGCCCGGAGGTGCGGGGGGGCAGGGGGCGCTCGGGGGGACCCCTCGATGAGCCCCCCGCCCGCTGACCCCCGCCCCGCAGAGCGAAGCCGCGTTCCACTGCTCGGCGGACCGGGACTGCCGGGAGCTGAGCCCGGGCACGAGCAACGGTGAGGGACCCCGGCGGGAACGGGGGCTGAGGGGGGCGAGGGACCGGGGGGAGCCACCATGGGCGGGAGTGAGGGACCCTCGGTGGGCTCAGGGGGCTGGGGGGGCCCCGGGCTCTGATGCGGGAGCTGGAGGTCTGAGGGAGCCGGGGGTTCAGGGTCCCAGGGGTGCCAAAGGGGCTCCAGGGATCCCTGGGGGATCAGGGGTCTCAGGGGCGCTCCCGAGGGTACTGAGAGCGGTCCGGGGGTCCCAGGGGTACCTACGGGGGTCTGGGGTCTTAGGGGTGCTGGCAGAGATGCTGAAAGTGGTCCAGGGGTCCCAGGGGTGCTGACGGGGGTCTGGGGTCTCAGGGGTTCTCCCGAGGGTACTGAAAGCAGTTCGGGGGTCCCAGGGGTGCTGACGGGGGTCTGGGGTCTCAGGGATGTCCCCAAGGGTACTGACAGAGTAGAGGGGTCCCAGGGGTGGTGACAGAGCTCAGGGGGCCGAGGTCCCAGGTGTGCTGACAGGGGTAGGGGTCCCAGGGCTGCTGACAGGGCGCTGCGTCCCCTACAACGCGACCCTGCGCACCTGCGAGATCCAGGGCTGGTGCCCGCCCGAGGTGGACACCGTTGATGTGTAAGTGGCGCCAGGGGGACACAGGGAGGAGCAGGGGACATGCCTCCTGCCATGTCCTCAGTGTCACCCCCCTTTCTCTAGCCCCATCATGCTGGAAGCTGAGAACTTCACCCTCCTCATCAAGAACAGCATCCGCTTCCCGCTCTTTGGCTTTGAGAAGTGAGTGGCACAAGCCATGGGGGGACACGGGGGAACATGAGGACAGGGGTGGGGTGACACGGGGACAGGGGACATGGGGACACAGACACAAGATGGTGGGGGGACACTGGGATGGGAGTCCGTGAACCCCAGACTGCTGCCTGATGGCACATCCCTCCGTGTCCCCCGTGTCCCCCTGTGTCCCCAGGACCAACCTGCCACCCCCTGGCAGTGGGGCGGAGCTGGGCCGGTGTCGCTTCCACCCACAGCTGCAGCCCCTGTGCCCCATCCTGCGCCTGGGGGACGTGGCACGTCTGGCTGGGCAGGACTTCCCTGCGCTGGCTGCCACCGTGAGCAGGGACACAGGGGACACGGGAGGCACGGGGGGAGAATGGGGTGGGTGTGGGGACACAGGGGTACAAGCAGGTGGGATGTAAGGGCATAGGGACGTGGGACTTGGGCACACAGACATGGGATATGGGTCACTGGGACATTGGGACATGGGATGGGGTGGATATAGGGTGGTGGGATGTGGACATGGAAGATGGGGACATGGGCTTGCATAACATGGGGACACGGGATGGAGCGATGAGGGATGCTGGGAATGGGACATGGGGATACAGGAACACGGGACAGAGTGATGATGTGGGGCTTGACACAGGGACATGGATGGGGTTTGGGATGTGGGACACGGGGACATGGGGTGTACAGACATGGAGATGTGACACATGGGGTGCAGGGGGATGTGGAGCTTGGGGAGATGAGAATGTGGGATGTAGCTTCATAGGACATGGAGCACAGGGCCATGGGATGCAGGACTGTGAAACTGTGGGGACTTGGCACCGTGGGGCCAGGGTCCGTGGTGCTGATGCAGGGCTGGGGCAGGGGGGGGTGCTGGGGATCAAGATCGGGTGGGTGTGTGACCTGGACCGGGCCTGGGAGCGCTGCCTGCCCCGCTACTCCTTCACCCGCCTGGACAGCCTGGCCCGGACCCCTGCCCCTGGATACAACTTCAGGTATTGCCAGGACACGCACGGCACAGGGGCGTGCACTGCCTGGCGTGGCTCCTGTCCCCATGTCCCTGTGTCACCGCAGGCACGCCAGGTACTACCGCTGGCCTGATGGCTCCGAGCGCCGCACCCTCATCAAGGCCTTCGGGATCCGCTTTGATGTCCTGGTGTATGGCAGTGTACGTGTGGGGCAGGGGACTCGAGGGGTCACAGGGGGCTCAGGGACTCCAGCCAACCAGGGCTTTGCTCCCCCAGGCCGGGAAGTTCGGCATCGTCCCCACCCTCATCAACACGGTGGCTGCTTTCACCTCCATCGGTGTGGTGAGTCGGGGACGTTCTCAGCCCCGGAGTGGTGACACCTCCCAGGGCACAAGGGGGAAATCCCACGGCCACGGGGCATGGGGACACAGCACGGCTGCAGGGTGGCAGTGGCCTGGCTCTGTGGGGGCGCGGGGGTGCTCCACAGTGCGGGGCCTCCCCACGCCAACGCTGCTGCCCCCAGGGCACGGTGCTGTGCGACATCATCCTGCTCAACTTCCTCAAGGGCGCTGAGCACTACAAGGCCCGCAAGTTCGAGGAGGTCAGACGTGGGGCCGGGGTGCCCTGGGGATGGGGACACCTTCGGGGGGCTCGATCGGCCCCCCCGGCTGCAGGGACTCACCCAGTGCCCGTCCCCTGCCCCACAGGTGTCAGAGGCCGGCATGCCCGCCACCCCCTCAGCGTGTCCCCCCGGAGCGCTGGGGACCTGCTCCCGGGACAAGCAATCCACCGACTCGGGCACCTTCTCCCTCGGCCTCTAGCCCCGGGGGCCATGGGGCAGCCCCCCGCCTGTGCACCCCGCTGTGGGGCAGCCCACGGCCTGCTGAGGGGCTCGCCGGGACCCCCGTCAGGCTCCCACTGCCCGCTCAGTCTCCAGTGCTCCCCCTGTGAACCCCATCAGCATCTGACTGTCCCCAGTGCCCACCCCGGGTTGTCCCAGTACATCCCAGTGTCCCCAGGAGGTGCCCCAGCCCTGTCCCTTGCCCCCAGCACCTCCTTGTCCCTGCCACCCCACGCCGGGGGCTGCACCCCCCCAATAAACCCGAGGCTCGCAGCACCCCCCCGTGTCCAGCCTTGGGGGGGCGTGGGGCGGTTTTGGGGGGCGACGGGCAGGGTTGGGGTGCGGGAGCAGAGGGAAGAGGAGTCAGGGCGCTGTCCCTGGGACGGGGGACACCGCGGGGGGAGCTGCCAACAGGAGGAGCGCTGTGCCCGCGGCGCAGCCCGTGGAAGGGGCACAGAGGGATGGGAGCTGTGCCCTAGGGGTGTCACTTCCTCGGTCGGATGTGAGTAACTCTGCGGATTCGGAGGAAGCTCCCGGATCCCTCCTTGTGCAGGGCCAAGCGCTGCCCTTCCTGCTCGGGGTGGCGGGGGTGAGGTCTGGCTCCTCATCCCATTCCGTGGGGGCTCCCACCCCAATCCCCCTGCAGAGCCAGTGCGGAGGGAGCCGTGAGCCTGGCTTGTTCCCAATGGAGCCCTGGTGCCGAGTCCTGGGGTTCACTCGTGGGAATGAGGAACGAGGGTCCCGGAGCCCCTCGCTGGTGCCCAGGGCAGCCCCTGCCCCGCAGGGAGAGCGGCTCCTGCCCTCCCCCCGCTGCAGATAGCGGGGCTCCTTATCAGCCCCGCGGATTCCTTATCAGCCCAGCCCTGGCCACCCACCCACCACCCGTGGCCACCACAAACCCAGCTTGGGGGGCTCCTTCCCCGGCGCCGAGACCCCCTGGGTGGCACCGAGGACGAGCCATCCCAGCTTTCAGGACAGCGAGGGGGTGACCGGGACACTCAACCCGCATTTTTTTGGGAAGGGGAGAGACTGGAAACGGATTCGTGTGTGACGGCTGGAAATGGATACTTGTGCCGTGTTCCAATTAGGACACAGATAGCTGGGAGCGTTATTAATAGTCATTAATAGAACTGCTCATTAGCGGTCCTGCTCATTAACGGGGCTCCGGCCAGGGCGGGAGCAGCCCGGGGAGCCTGGCTGCGATCCCGGGGGGCTCATTAGCAGTGCCGGTGTTTCCCCGTTAATGTTGCTAATTAGCGGAAAGGCTCGAGCCGTGTCTGTGCTGGTGCCTGCGGGGTTCCGGCCCTTCATCATCCAGTTTGGGATTTGAACTGGAACTGGGCACCCTCGAGGTTCTGCCACCAGTTTCAGCAGTTTCGGGGTTTAATACCTCTCTCCCCGCATGGCGGCTGTCCCGGCACTGAGGTACGGGATCGCTCCTTATCTCCAGCCTGATTCAGCCCCGGTTTGCTCTCCCGGCTGGCGCTGCAGCTCTGGGTTCTGGTTTGGTGTCCCCACCCCCGGGGCCCCCTAACCTGCACCCACATTTACCAGTCCCTTTCCCCCCTACACCACTCTGCCTCATTTTGGAGGCTCCTGTGAGCTCTCCCCCCATTTCAGCCCCTGAATTCCCCCCACAACCCCTCCTTTACACCTCTTTGCTGGTAGAAGGGCCCCACTGGGCCAGCGGGGGGTCCCGGGGGCTCTGTGCCCCCCCCCCAATCTCTGTCCCTGCACTCGGGTGTTAAACCTGCCCCTTCCCACAGCCCATCCCGGGCTTAATCCCCCCCTACAGCCCCAGCCCAGGCCCCAGCCCAGCCCCCCCGGTGTGTCCCGGTGGATTTGGGGCTCTTCAGACCTCACTCTGCAAAATCCCGCTCAGCCTCTTCGGTTCTTTTCCCCAGAGCTGGAGCTGTGAGAGTTCAGTCCCAGTGGGACAGTCCCAGACCACTTCGGGGGGCTTCCCTCCTCCCCCCAATGTTTATTTGTCGGTGGGGGGAAAGTTTGTTCCCTCTTGGCTCAGCGTTGTCCGCGTCCGGCTCCATGAGCAACCCGCGGAGCTGGGACACACCGAGAGCTCTGGTGGCAGCCGGTCCTGCGGCAGCTGCTGCCCTAAAATGGTCTTTTTACAGCGTGGGGGGTCCCAGAACCCCCATCCCCCTCCTCGATTTTTGGTAAATGTATAAATCTCCTCGGCACGTTGTGCTCAAAGTGCGGCCCCGGCGCTGGGGGACCCCCCGGAGCCACCGCTGTGTGCACAGCGAGGCAAAACGGGGAATCCCAAGCGCCAAATGCAAAATGCCAAATGCACACTCTCCCCCCGCCGCGGTGCCACTCCCCCCAATGTGACACCAACCCCCGGTGCGACCCCCCTGCTGCCAAGTGCCCGATGTGACACTGCCCGTGCGAAATGCTGCCCCGATGTGTGACACCCCGGCGCTGAATGCGGCGCCCCGAGGTGAAACCCCAAATGCTGGCTGAAGCCCCCCGGCTCCTGAGCTCCCCAGAGCCGGATCCCAGCGCCCAACGCCACCGCGGTGGGCGACCAAACCCCCCGGGCGTGGCGGGGCCGGGGTTATCTCGGGGGTCGGCGCGTTGACACGCGGGTGAGAGCTCGGTAAAACCCCCCGGGAAGGAGCCAGATGGAGGTGGGGGGAGCTGCGAAGTTTCCCACGGGGGCTCCCCCCGGCCCTGCCTCCTGCCCTGTCCTGCCCGTCCCCTCCAGGAGGAGGGCGGGGAGGAGGAGGAAGGGGAGGTAACGCGGTGGGATTCGCTCAGGGGCCGGAGCAGCGGGTGAGCCCGGGATGAGCTGAGCGGAGCGGAGCCCAGCGCCGCCGGGATGGAGGAGGCGACGGACGCCTACACCTACGGCTTCGACAATGATACGGACTGCGAGTACGCGGAGTGGGGCCCCTCGCTGGCCCTGCTGCCCACCATCTACCTGCTGGTCTTCCTGCTGGGCACCACCGGCAACGGGCTGGTCCTCTGGACCGTCTTCAAGGGCGGCCGCGACCGCCGGCGCTCGGCCGACACCTTCATCGCCAACCTGGCCGTGGCCGACCTCACCTTCGTGGTCACCCTGCCCCTCTGGGCCGCCTACGCCTGGCTGGGCTACCACTGGCCCTTCGGCACGGCCGCCTGCAAGGTCAGCAGCTACCTGGTGTTCGTCAACATGTACGCCAGCGTCTTCTGCCTGACCGGCCTCAGCTTCGACCGCTACCTGGCCATCGTGCGGCCGCTGGCCACGGCCAAGCTGCGCTCGCGGGTCAGCGGGCTGGTGGCCACCGTGCTGCTGTGGCTGCTGGCCGCCCTGCTGGCCCTGCCCGCCCTGGTGCTGCGGCGGGCGGCCGCCATCGGCGGGGACACCAAGATCACCTGCTACATGGACTACGGGGAGCTGGCGGCGCAGGGCACGGAGGGCGCCTGGGAGGTGGGGCTGGGGCTCTCCTCCACCGCCCTGGGCTTCGTGGCCCCGTTCGCCGTGATGCTGACCTGCTACTTCTTCATCGCCCGCACCGTGGCCACTCACTTCCGCCGGGAGCGGGCCGAGGGGCCCCGCAAGCGCAAGCGCCTGCTCACCATCATCACGGTGCTGGTGGCCGCCTTCGGGGGCTGCTGGCTGCCCTTCCACCTGGTCAAGACCCTCTACGTGCTGATGGACCTGGAGGTGCTGCCCTGGTCCTGCGCCTTCCACACCTTCCTCAACAACCTCCATCCCTACTGCACGGGCATCGCCTACATCAACAGCTGCCTCAACCCCTTCCTCTACGCCTTCTTCGACCCCCGCTTCCGCCACGCCTGCGCCGCCCTCCTCTGCTGCCGGACCCCCGGCCCCGGCCCCGAGCGCTCCGCCAGCTACTCCTCGGGGCACAGCCACCCCCCCGGCGGCAAGGGGGGCCCCGGCCCGGGGGGCAAGCTGGACCCCGCCACCCAGGAGACGCTCTTCCGCTCCTGAGCCCCTCCCCGACCGCCCCCGGCGCCCCCCGAGCTGGTCTACTCGGGGGGAAACACCCCCTCCGCCTTGACCCAAAGCCTGGCTTGCTTTGGGGATCCCCCGCTGGAAAGCCCTGCTCGCGGGAAGGGGAAACTGAGGCACGGCCGGGGAGGAGCCCCTGGGGGGCTCGGACGGGGGCGGCTACCCCGGCACCCCCAGGGCTTTGTGTTTTGTGACAAATAAATGAATTTTGGTTAAAAAAGGAGCGGGGTGTGCGCAGTTCCCTCGGGGGGCTGGGGGGATGTGGTGGAAGGGAGGATGGAGGGGTGGGGGTATGGAGGATGGAGGGTGTCCATGAGAGGGGGCACAGTGTGTGTGTGTTGGGGGGTGTGTGCACTGTGGGGCATTTCTGCTTGGGACGGATTCTTCTGGTCTCTTCCTCAGCAACACTTTGGGAAACGCAGGAAAACCTCCATCCCAACCCTTTGGGGCATTGCAGCACCGGGATGGGGCTGTTTGACCCCGTTAGGTGGGCACCTGCCTGCCCCAGCCCCCCAGCCGTGATTGTATCAGGCGGCAGCACTGAAATCCCAAATCCCATTTTGGGGCTGTTTTCCTTATCTGAGGCTGGGATAAGCCCTGTGTGACTCACCTGGGAGTGCAAACGGGACCTGGTGCTGTGAAACACCCAAACCTGAGGGGTGGGGACATAGGACCCCCCGGGTGCAGCTGGGGACTGGGGACCCTCCGGGAATGAAGAGGGACACAGGACCCCCTGGGCATTGATGGGAGGTTTGGGCACAGGGCGGGACCCCGGCTCACCCCAAGCAGGATTTGGATGAGCTACCAAATGGCTCCTGTCCCATTTCCCCCCCCCACCCCAGCCCCCGCCGCTTCCTGAGGCTCTGCTCGAAATAAATCTTCCCCCTATTTGCTATTTACATCCTTCATTTATCGGTGATGAACTATGCTATCTCCTCAGCCTTTGTTCTCTCTTGGAAAGGATGCAGGATCATTACTGGGTTCCTTGGGATGCTTCCCGTCGGGGGAGCTGCCTCTGCCTTCCTGCCGGCCCCCACCGTGTTTGGGGGCCACCGCCCACAGCCTCCCCCTGCGGGGACAGTCCTTTGTCCAGAGAGAGGGAGCAGAGGGGGTGGCCACGGGGCTGGGGACTGCAACCCCCAGCTGGAGGGGTGGGAGCCTCCTTGAGGGTTTTGGGGAGTTTCCAGACGGATCTGGTTTGGTCTAAGGGCTGGGGGAGCTTGAGGAGTGGGAATGTTGCATCCAGGGACACGTCCCCAAGTGTGTTTACATTCCAGTGCTGTCCAGGCTCTCTCAGCCCGGAGAGACCCCTGGATGTCTCTCATCCATCAGTCCAACAGTCCCCTCATCCATCCATCCATCCATCCATCCATCCATCCATCCATCCATCCATCCATCCGTGGGTTAATGGTTTTGGGGTTACAGGGGCGTTGCTGGGTCGATGGTTGGGCTTGATCGCAAAGGTGTCTTCCAACCTTGATGATTCTACGATTTTCCCCTTCTCTCCCTCCCTTTGCCCATCCCTCCATCCCACCATCCTCCTTTCCCTCCATCCCTCCACACCCCCAAACACCCCAGCACTGTGGGGGTGCCGGCTTTGCTGCCTCCCCCCGTCCGGCTCAGCCGCCGGGCGCGGAAATGGCCGCAGGCGCCCGGCCAGCGGAGACGGAGCTGCCGACTTTCTATCCGCGTCTTGGAGATTTCCCTTTCCCTTCCAGGAGGGAAATGTTTGGTTGAGGAGTCTCTGGGGAGAAATGCAGGGACACTCCAGAAAATAACAAGGCCGGAGCTGGGGGTGAGGGGCAGCAGGGCCGGACCACCCGTCGGAAGAAGATAAGGAAGGTGTTGCCTTCCTGAGAGTGCCTGGGGAAGATGAGGAGGGAAGATAGAGGGGGACAGCAGGCTCGGGGGGATGGGGAGCATCCTTGGAAAGGATGACTGGGGAGCGGGGGGTGGCTGTGATCCTCAGGGAGCCTGGCGGCCCTCAAAGCACACAATGGGATGCCTTGGGGACGCTGCAGGGCCGGGGTTCCCCAAACCGTGGTTGTGGGGATGTGACACTGGGAAAACAGAGGTTATTCTGCACAGGGAGTAAAAGTGGGCTCCGGGGAGGATGGATGCACCAGGGACAGGAATTGGGGCAAGGATGGGGACAGCCCCCCCTCTCCCCACTGCAGCTCTCCCCCCCTGCGCTTTTCCAAGCTGCCAAACGGGATGTTCGCCCCCCCCCGACCTCCCCCCGCCTCGCATCCCGCCCGGGGGTGCCGAAATAATCTGGTGGTGCTAAGGATGTCCCCGGGCGTCCCCTTTGAAGTGACCTCCGTGTTTACAGCCCGGCTCGGGCTCCTTCACACCTCCCGCCCCAAAGCAAACGGAGGGGGGGGACCGCGTGGGTGGGGGGGCTGCAGCTCCCGTTTGTGCCGGGAAAACTCGGATTTGCTAAAGCCGCGGGAAAGCTTTGGCACCGCACCCAGGGCTCAGAAACTTTTGTCACTGTGGGGTGGAAGCAGTGGCTGCCGGGGTTGGCATTTCGGGAGGGTCCCTGCCTCGGTGTGTCGCCACCGTGCCAAGTCCTGGGTGACCCACCCGCTACCCCTTAGGGGGCCAGTCCAACCCCCCCTCCCCCCGCAATATGAGGGGACCCCCGAAGGTCTGGTGGGCCCTGTGTGACCCTGCAGGACTGAGGAGGGGACAGAGGGGAAGGACAGAGAGAGGAAAAGGGGCGGAAAAGATGGGGGGCCAGTTTTGGTGGGTGGGGGAGGTTTGGGATGGGAGGTGGGACTGTATTACGTGGATGGATGGGTGGATGGATGGATGGATGGACGGACGGACGGATGTGTTGGGAGGTGGGATTGTATTATGTGGATGGATGGGTGGATGGATGGATGGATGGACGGACGGATGTGTTGGGAGGAAGGGAACGGTGGGTGCATGGGAAGAGGGATGGCAGGGCAATGCCAGGGCTCGGGGGTGCCCCGGGCACGGGGCTGGGCGCTGGCAGCCGCTGCCCCCATCGCTGCCCCGGGGCCGCCGGCGCGGCCGGACGCGGCACAGCTGCTGCCCGACCTCTGGGCTCCGGCCAGGCGGGACCCGCGTCCCCCCGCCCGCCCGGAGGGGGTCCCGGGGAGGGGGGGACGCGGAGGTGACCCGGCGGCCACAGCTGGGCCCCGCCGGGGCCGGGAGATGCTGCCGGAGGAATAACAGGAAGCGCTGGAGGGAAGAGCACGGCTGATGCCTTCTGCAGGCTGTGGACGCTGCCTGTGCCCGCCGCACGCACGCGGGTGTCTGTCACACACATGTCACACACACGCACACGGTGTCCCCCCACACGCACGTCCCTGTCACACACACGTGTCCCCCCCGCCACACGCGTGTCCCGGCCCCGGCTGCGCTGACACTCTTTATTGTCGAGGTTTGGCGCTGAAAAAGTGCCCCGTGGTACAAAACCCGCGGTTACAAAACGTACAAAGAGCGGGGTCGGGGGAGAAGAGAGAAAAAGGAAAAGAAAGGAAAAAAGGAAAGGAAAAGAAAAGAAAAAGAAAAGAAAGAAGAGAAAAGAAGAGAAGAGAAAAGAAAATGAAAAGAAGGAAAAGAAAAGAAAAGAAAAGAAAAGAAAAGAAAAGAAAAAAGAAGAAATAGAAGACAAGGGGAGGAAAGGAAAGGAAAGGAAAGGAAAGGAAAGGAATAGAGAAACAGCAAAATCAAAAGACAAGGAGAAACAAAAGAGAAGGAAAACAAAACATAAATATAAATACAAAAAGAAGAGGATGAGGTGAGGCAGAGGAAGGAGCTGGTGGGATGCAGGTGGATGCTCCATGCCCATGTGGCAGGTCCAGGGGTGCAGGAGTTGTGGGGGTGCAGGAGGTGTGGAGCAGGGGGGTTCTTGGACTCACTGAAAGGAAAATAATAAAACCCCAGACAAAATAGAGAAGGCAGAGGCCAAGTTCCCTCTCCTGGGGGCAGCGCTGGGGCTGGGGTGCAGCAGGAGCCCTTTTGGGGTGGGCTGGGGTTAAACCAAACCCCCCTCCCCACGCACTCAGCCTCCACGGGGGACAGGGGAAGGGACAAAGCAGCCCCCAGGTGACCCCAGCCCCGCTCCCCACCTGATGTGCTCCCACAGTGACAGGGTGACACAGACACCAGGGACAGGTGACACAGGCACTGGGGACATGGCCGTTCCAGCTAGACAGAGGGTCGTTGGCTTTCTGCTTTTTTTTCCTTTTTTTTCTCCTTTTTAGAGCTCCTTCCACCTCCCAAACCTCCCCCAGGGTGGGCAGGGCAAGGCTGCTGCCCAGTTTGTCCCCGAAGAGGAGGAAGATGTCATCTCTGGGAGACGCAGTCCCTGGAAGGTGCCATCCTTGGGAGATGCCATCCCCTGGAGATGTCACAGCCCATCCCACTGCCAGGCTCGGTGGTCCCGGTGCTGTTCCAGCACATCCCGATGTCAGCAGCAAGGTGCAGGCATGCCCTGGAACGGTGGTGAGGAGCTGGGTGTCAGCAACCCTTCCTGCCCCTCTGGATTTATGGGGAGGCTGGAGAGCAGGTGTAGGATTTGGGGAGCTCCAGCGGTGCTGCTTTGGGGCTGAAAGCAGGAATCTCCTTGACGCCCCCCGGAGAGTGGCTGTGGTTCCCAAGACACACACACTTTGTCCTCTGTCTCTCCCAGGCAGAGGTGGGGAGGTTCCCATGGGATTCCCAAATCACTGCCTCAACCAGTCCTGGGCAGTGGGAACAGCACAGGAGGGGGTCCAAGCTCACGGTGATGGGGGGTGCAAAAACTCCCCACTTTGGGGCAAAAGGAAGCAGGGCTGTCCCCTGGTGTCCCCGGCGTCTCGAGGGCCACCCCGGCACGGGGGGCGGCGGGAGGGGACGCGGACAAGGCACAGTCTGGTGTCCCCGCGGGGGCGGCCGGGCCGGGGGTCTATCGGCGGTGGCGGCAGCGGCGGTCCCTAAACGTCCTCGTCCTCGCTGGCCTTGCTCCAGCGGTGGCAGCAGTTGGCCGTGATGCCCAGCAGGAAGTTGGTGGCCACCGAGGCGATGGAGACGACGAAGCCGACGAAGGCGATGAAGAGATAGTCGTCGAGGGTCAGCGTGAGGTGGCAGGCCTGGAAGCTCTCCTCCGTCAGCGACAGCAGCGGGGCCCCCGCCACCTCGGGGGGAGCCCAGCACTCCGCCTGCTGCGAATCTGCGGGACGGAGGGACGGCGTCAGCCCGGCCGCCGGCCCCGCACGGGACGGGGCGCGGGGGTCCCGGCGGCACCTACCCGAGGAGCAGCGCTGGATGCGCCCCCGCAGCCACTTGAGGAGCGGCTCCATGGCGCAGCCGCAGAGCCAGGGGTTGCCCCCCAGGCGCAGCCCCACGAGGCCGGGCAGCCCCTCCAGGGCGTCGAGGCTGAGGGCGGCCAGGCCGCCGTAGCTGAGGTCCAGCTCGCGCAGCTGGGCCAGGCCGCGGAAGGCCTGCGGGTGGACGCGGCGCAGCCCCGGGTTGTGGCTGAGGTCGAGGCGCAGCAGCGCGCTGGCCTCGCGGAACATGTCGGCGGGCACCAGGCTGAAGTTGTTGTAGCTCAGGTCCAGGTGCGCCAGGCGCCGGGCGCCGCGGAACAGCCCGGCCGGCAGCGCCGCCAGCGAGTTGTTGCGCAGGTCGAGGGCGCGCAGCTGCCCGTAGCAGCCCAGGTAGCCCGGCGGGATGCTGGCGATGCGGTTGTGGGCCAGGCTCAGGTTGCCGGTGTCCAGCGGCAGCTCGGGGGGCACGGAGAAGAGCCGCTGCCCGCTGCAGTCCACCGCCTGCCCGCGGCAGCTGCACAGCACCGGGCAGCCCGCGCCCGCCGCCGCCACCGCCGCCGCCGCCGCCAGCAGCCAGGGGCCCAGCAGCATGGACAGCGGCGTTCCCGGCATCCCGGCGGCATCCGGGGGGCAGCGCCAACCCCTCCGGGGGCACCGGCGGGGCCGGCGTCGGGCCGTCGCCAGCTGCCTGCGAGGAAGAGGAGAGCGGGGAAGTCGTGCCGGCCGCACGCCCCGCCGGGGGGGCCGCCGCTGTTGCAGCCCGGCGTGGCCTCTGGGGCACCCACAGCCTCCCCGTGCCCCCCGGGACAGCGTCGCTGCTCCAAGCGTCCCCCCGGGATTCCAGGCAGAAAAGGGCCCCCCCAGTCCTGCTGACCTTGGCCAGCCCATCTTGGTTGGTGGTGGGCAGAGCAGAGGTGCTGCTCCACGACCCCCCGCCACCACAAGCTGAGCCCGGTGCCAGGGACACCCTTCCCGCCTCTCTCCCGGGGGAAGATCCCCATTCCCAGCACCCACCGGGGTCCCCCCAGGCCTGCCCTCGCCCCCCACCACCTGACCATATCTGCTCCATCCTCCCTCGCCTGCATCCCCCAGCTCCATCCTCTCCCAGCGGCCCACCTCAGCCCGGTCACTCCCCATCCCCGCAGCGCCCCGACCCCTCCGGTGAGGCCGGGCTGCCCCGGGGTACTCACTGGCCAGGGAGGGAGCAGGGCCTGGCTCCCTGCGGCGATGTGGGGCTCCTGAGTGGCGATGTGGGGGGCTCCGGACGGTGATGGTGGGGTCCCCGGTGGCCGGCCACACCCCGGAGGCCGCCAAGTCGGGAGCTGGGCTTTGGCAGCGGCGGCCAAGGCTGCAGCGAGCCCGGCGATGGGAGCAGGTCTTTCCCCACCTCCTTCCTCCCCTCCTCCTCCTCGTCCTCCCTTGTCTCTCTCTTTCTCTGTCTCTTTTTTTTTTTTCCTCTTTTTTTCCTTAGGGCCAGATACTGACGTGTCGGTGTCTCTTAGCAACTGCCTCCACATCTCTGAGCAACAGGAGAGCGGGATGCGGAGCCGCCGAGCCGGGGAGACAGCGGCGGGCGGAGGTGCCCCCGCCTCAGGGACCCCCTGCCCAGGCCAGGGGACCCGCACCCGCACGACCCAGGCAGCCGGCAGGGACAGAGCTGGGAGAGGGCTCCATCCTGCTCCCCTGCCCTGATCCCCAGCCCTCCCACACGCTCCCAGCCCCGGGAAGCATCCTCGTGGGATGGGGTGAATCAGGGGTTCCCAGGCACTGAAAACAGAAACAGATGACGTGGTGGCAGAGGGGAGAAACGAGGCAGCCGGGATCCAAGGGGAGCTCTAGGATCCAAAGGGACTGCTGGGATTCAAGGGGCACTGTCACCCTCCTGTGCTCCTGCTGTGCTCACAGCACTGGAAAATGCCTCAGGTTGACATGGATTATTTTGCTTCACGCAAGCTGAAATATTCCCTTTACCTTCTCCGTTTGGAGGGACACAGTGGGGTCAACCACCTGCCCCCTTCCACCTGAGAATGGCCCTCTGGGATCACAGGGATGCCCACAGTTTGCTCCGGGAATGGTGCAACACCATGGCTCCAGCATTTCTAGGAAGGAGGCACTTCCACATCCAGCCCGCCCACGTCTAGGGGATCCCTGCTTAATTCTCTCCTGCTGATTTCATGGAGCTGCTCCTTTTTCCAGCTGGCACTGGAGCCCGATGCTGGTGCTGGGGGGCCTTTTGCTCCCCACATCCCATGGGATGGATCCTCCCTGGTGCGGAGCTGGCAGACAGACAGCACAGCCGCCTCTCCTGGGGTGGCATTAACCAGCACTGCTCCCAGCTCCCGGAAAGCTCCTGGGAGCTCCTGGAGCGCGAGGCCCGGGCTCCCAGCGGGCTCCAGGAGCCGAGCAGAGCCAGCGGCAGCACAGACACCTCATTAGCGCTCAGCCCGGAGCCTGGCAGCGCATCCCTGCCAGCAGCTGTTGGCGCCGAGGTTTTTTTCCACTCCCCCACTGTTCCGGGCTCCACTGGCACCAAAGAAACTGGGAAATTGTCCTGACTGGTGCTGTGCTGCAGCAGATTTTGTGTCCTCCTTGCCCAATCCCCTGTGGAGGTGGCCATGGGGGCATGGTACTGCAGGGCATCATGCCTGAGGAAGCCAGGGGATAGATGCTGCCCTCTGGGGTGGGAAGGAGCCTGGCTGTCCTCCCCACCTTACCCATGAACACCCTGCCTGATCCCATCCAAAAAGCATTCCTGGGACAAAAGTCCTCTTGGGCGAGCACTAGCCAGCTCTGGGACTAAGCACTCCAAGTACTTCCAGCCCCTTTCTGTGGAAGGAGCTGCAGGAGGGCTCCAGGGATTCTGGCTCCATAAATCTACTTCACAGCCAGAGCCTTTTCTGTTTCAATCCATCCCTGCTCCTGTCAATCCATGTGCTTTCAGGCTTGGGAAAGGAAGAAGGAAGGAGTGGGATGGGTGCAGCTTTGCTGCTGAGGGTGGGTCAAAGCTGCCACACTGCCAGATCCCTGGGGAACCATCCCCTCCCTCACCCTTCCCAAATCAACCCAGCTCCTGCTCAAGACAGGCTGTCCCACTGATCCTGCCACAACAGGATCCAGAGCTGAGCCTGGGCTTCCTTTTCCCATTAGAAAAAAAGGGTGAGGAGGCATTAGCCACTACTTAAATTGTCCAGGGAGATTTTTTCCAATGGCAGGAAGAAGATTCTGGCTCAGACCAAGATGAGTGCACAGGAATTGTTGAAGGAAAAGGAATTGCAGATAATTACGACAGTATAGATAAATACAGTAAATATATAAAAAAAGGGTTACACGAACATTATCCCCTCAGTGATTTAAAAACCTGGTCTTCCTTAAAGCAATTTCCAAGCTTCCTTGTACAAGGGAATATCCTAAGTGAATAGGAAATGAGGCAGACTAGGAAATGGCTCTGGTTGCAGATTAGTAACTGTGATTTCTGCAAGGCAAAAGCCACAGCCACCAAGGTATGGGGAAGGAGACACACCCAGTGAGCGCTGGACTTGAATAAACAACTTTATTTCTGTACAAAAGAAGAATAAAAAGTTAAAATTGTCAATAGAAGGTAAGTAGAACACAGACCCTAGAAACCACCTCGGCTGCCTCGGCTCAGCTCTGGAAGGTGCAGGAGGGGCCGGGCGGGGAGTGCCACACGGCCGAGCTCGTGCGCTTGAAGTAGCGCGGTTTGCTCTTGTAGAAAATGTCCTCCAGCTTGGGGCTGGGGATGGCCCCGAACAGCGCGTCCAGGTCCACCGGGTGGTAGTACTGGTGCACGATGGCCTGCTGGAGCTGCGCCCCTGCGGGAACAACGGGAACAGCACAGGCTGCAGGCCCCGCCTCGGGCGGGCCGGCGCTCCCCTTCCCCTCTGAGAGCCACCAGCTGTGCAGGAGGCGTGGGACATGTCCCACTGCCACCACACCCGCTTCTCCTCAGGAGCTGGGGCTGTGCCCCCCTTCCTCTCCGAGGACTCTGGTTTCACCTCAGCCCAGGAGCGCTCGCAGAAAGCAGTGCCGATCGCCCCAGCACACAGAGCTGGGAGCTGCCAGAGGTGCACACGCTCCTGGACTGCGCTTTGAGATGGATCCAAGCAAGGCTGGAAAGCTCCAGGGCAGGAGGGAAAGGAAGCCAGCCCAGGGCTGGCACCTACCATCAGCCCAGGCGGGGATGGGCTTCCGAGGGTTGCTCTCATCATCTGTGGAGTCGTCACTGTTCAGATCCAGCCCGTAGCTGTTCTCAGTGGCCGGGGGCGATGGTGGCTCTTGAGCACCCTTCAGGGAGCCGAGGCAGGATGTGGAGAGGGATTTCTGAAACCACACAGAGAGCAGTGATGAGCAAGGGGAGCAGCACTTCCATGACTGGGATGGCCACCAGAGCCCCAAAGTGCTCAAATCCTGAACCAACACAAAACTGTCACTGGGCTCCGTGCCGCAACATCTGCTCTTAACATTCCCTCCCCCTCCTGTTTTCTGTGGAAAAACCTGGGAAAGGCACACTGTGCATGTCCCAGCACTCAACTCTCCACCTAAACCCTTCGGTTTTCCCTTGCTGGAGCTCTGACACAGCCAGGACAGAGCCCAGAGCAGATTCCCGGCAGAGACAGCGCTGCAGCCCAGTTCCGAGCAGCCTTTCCTGCTCTTCCCATGCAAGGCTCTGCATCTGCAGCTGCCACAAGCCTGGCTGCCCAGGGCCGCTCCCAAAGGGACGTCGCCTCAGGACCTGCTGCCCTCCGGTGGCCGCTTCCAGCATCTTTTCCGCCTCCAACCACTTGTTTTTCCATCGGGCTCCCTGTGCCAAGAGCGGCGGTGGCTCCGAGCCGCGGGGCCAAGAAGCCACAGCAGGCGGGGGCCACCCGAGGGCTGTGCCGGGTTGCGCCGGGGCCAGGGCTCACCTTGACGGCTTTGCTCGGCCATGTCCCAGGGGCTGCTGCTGGAATGGGCTTTTTCTCGTCTCTCAGCTGCTGCTGACCGTCAGCCTCCTGTAAGACACGGGAATGAAGTCATTCCTCACTCACACAGAACAGACTCTGACACAGAGCTGTGTTCTTGGCAGCTCTGGCAACATCCAGCCCTCAGCACCCCCGTGGCTTCTTCTGCAGAAATAACCCCAAATCCAAGACTGCCAGATAAAGCCACTCCTGTCTCTCCTTAGGTCCAGCCTGGCTCTTTGGAGCCCACACTCACCCTCTCTGCTTGAAGCCAGACATTAAGAGCTGGGAAACAGGATTCTGGTGGCTCATATCTTTTCTCCAGCCCAGGCCCGAGAGGCAGCTCTTTGGGACTTGGTTTCCCCTAATAAAGAGGAAAAAAAAAACCCCAAACCTGCTGAAGTTCCTTTTTGACCCAAACCATTTCTCCTAGAGCTTCCCCTCCTGTGTTGCTCAGCCATTTTCTCCTGCCTGGAAAAGCTTTGCCAGACTCATTCTGGCCCTGCTGCTGGTAGCACAGGAAGGATTCAGACCTTAAATTCAATTTATACAGCACAAAAGAATCCAAGTGCCAGGGACTGAGGGAAGGAGTGCAGCAGGAGCCCACACAGGAGGAAGAATTGATCTTGAAGA